CGCGGCTATCAGGGAAGAACAATGCGGCAATCTTGACATTCGGTTCCCAACGGGGAACTCGCTGTAGCGTGAAGCCGCGCCGGAAGTTCGCCGTGTGCCCCCGCTAATTGCACCCGCGACTTCACATGACCCCACCTTCCAACATTTTCCCCAGGTATACACACCCGAGGGAATTTGCTATGCCAGGCACGACCTGGCGTCGTTCCGACGTCGCCCGCGTCGAATGAAACTTTGCAGGAGCAACTTTTCAGCCCGACAAGGGCGCATTAATTTCGAGCGAATCGATCCTCGAGCGAGCTTCAGAGACAACAGAAGCATCAGAGGGATGAGTAAAGCGCGGTCGCATTCTTGCGCAGCGAAAATATCTATATTTAAATAAGGACGCGCGAGTTTGAAGCTTGTTATTAAAAAACCGAGGTGGGCGTATTTCAGCTCGCTGAAATACGCCGAAAGAACTTGGTGGTAGCAGCGCATTCTTTAATTAACGTGAAATTGATTTTCCCTCGGCGAAAACTCGCTCAAACGCTCCTCGTAACTTTCCAATCTCCGAGACAACGAATATATATATACATATACATCTGCTGGCTGCGAGTCTCCGGATTCCATTGAGGCAGGAACCGCTCGGAATTAAAAGCGGAACGAGATCTCGTTATCCGCAGCTCTTTATCCCCGTGAGAAGCCTGTCATTCTTTAATTGTTCGTAACTTAAAAACCGTCAAACGTTCCGAGTCGTCGCAGCTGTGGCGAAAAGATTCCAAGCGGTTGACCGGAGTGCAGAGGGGGAGATGGTGGTAAATAACCTCCTCGTCAAACATCTCTCGATATTCAACGTTCTTGAATTTTTCAGACCGAGCCTTGTGCCGCTTCTCACGGAATAATTAAGGATAATACGCGTTGTGTACTCCGCTCCGCAAGCGTAACTTTTTTCCAGTTCCCACACCTTATTATTATCCAGCACGCCTCATTAAACTCGATTTCTCGCGTAATTTCCCGCTCCACGATCCGATTACGAGTGCAGAATGCAAAAGTACGGTTAAGTGATTTAATTGCGTCGCAACCACTACCGAATTGTTCCAAATTTTGCAGTCAATTTCTTCCAACCCGCCGCAGTGGGATATAATTGCGATGATATGCGATGCCATACTGAGCACGTAAAGCACTTCCATTATCTTTGTTATCTATGCCGGCTGCATAGCAAGTGAATTGGTCATAACATTAATCAATCGAATGTAACATCGATCATATTGTATGTATAAATTTCTCTCTCCTAATTATCCTTTTAGTTACATATAAACGATATAAATATCTATATTGCTTGTAATATCTGTGTATATTTATAGCTGTTTACTATTTCGTCTAAAAAATAGTTCCTAAGACGGGAGAGACTCGCTCGCAAATCGCCGAACGGAGGATTTGAATTTCAATTGAACTTGACTTATCGGCATTGTCCTCAGGATCTTGGAGGTGAACGGCAAGCTCGTAGTAGGAGCCGGCAGGAGTGACCTGGCGCGGCTGTTAGCCATCGTGCCGGACGCCGCGCAGATAGTAGTCCTACGAAAAAGCGAATCCCTTGCAGCGCTGCGTACTCTGCGCTCCGACAATCTCAGGCTGACCCATAGGATCGGCTATCTCGAAGAGCAGGTGAGGGATCTTCTGGCGCCGAGCAGAACTGAAGTGCCCGCGGATCCGCCGTCCAGTCGTCAGGAACACGTCCAGGTACATCCGGATCGATTGACGAAACAAATTGACGAAAGACAAGCGGAGCTTCGTCGAGCTCGATGGAATTCGTCGAGATAACGCGAAACGTTACATCTGTCCGTTCTAAGTTTGTTTATTGAAAATTAATGCCTCAGAGGAAGCTCGACAAGACTCGCGATGTACAAAAACGTGAATAAGCAACATCGCACTGTGCATGCAACGAAGCAGACGGATGACGGTAGTACAAAAATATTTTTTGACGCTTCGTTAGATTTCACAACAAATCGATCGTTGAAAATCCTCGTCGTGTAAAATATACCTCCGTAATTTAATTTTCCTCTTTAATTTTATATCTTTGGTAATTAAGCTTCTCCTCTATAAAGTTCATTAAAGAGATCGCTAATTAAAGGAGTTAATGAGCGTTCTGTTTAAGAAACATTTGTTGAAAATATATTTATTTGAATTATCATCATTCAAATTTCGTTTACATTCAATAAATAACTCGTAATATATAATAATAACTCGTAATATACAATAAATAACGTTGAACGTATCCATTTGTGACGTCAAAGTTCATATATATGTGGCGACGTATCTATGGCAACGTTCCAGGTGTTCCAGAAAGGTCCTCAAGTGACCGCGCTGGTGGCGAATCTACCCGGCCTGAACGTGAGAAACCCCACGGAACTGCGGCAGAGTCTGCCAACAGTCAGAAGCAGACACGGCGATCACGCCAGACGCGTGACGGACGCGAGGAGTTCGCGCGAGCTCGACTTCTCGTCGGATGGGGTCTCGAATGGCCATCACAAGTCGCGGAACAAACAGAAACACCAGGGCCTCCAGCTGGCCAGGTCAACGGCCAGCCTCGACTGCAAACAGTCGCCGATACAGGTGCAGCGTCGACGGTCGCCGCGCGTCGAGTCCGCCATGGAACATTTGCACAAGAGCCGCAAGACCGGGTCACAATTGCAGTCTCTAGAGTTTGATTCTGAACCGACTTATTATCGTTTGCAGGTATATATTTCGATATCGAGTGTCGTAATAACCTATTACCTATAGATAATTAAATATCTCAATATTTAATTCCTATTATTAAAAATCCTATTATCGCGGTGATAAGCTGCTTTCCGTCATCTTTATATCTCATTTAATTTTACTTTATTTTACTTTTATTTTATATATATATTTTTTCTCATTATTTATTTTAGTTTCATTTTGTTTCAGTTTTATTTGCATGCGTTAATCATGTCTAAATATTTAGTCGTACGTTTTAAAATCCTTGTTAAAAAATTTCCAAGTACTTTAAAAAGCTTTTCTTATTTTATTTTTATAATAGATTTTTATAGCTTTCATTACTTATACAATTAGATCCTTAAATATCGCGCGTATCCTTATAAAAATTAAGTACTGCAATGCTTGAAGCAAGTCGACTATTGGAACGAAATTACTTCATGTCTCATACTCTCCTGCCTTAAATAGTAGTGACTCTCATCACAATTCTCTCTAAAACATCTCATTTCAGGACTCTCAGTCTCGCGTGTCAGAGAATTCAGAGGCGTCGGCGTTGTACAGCTCCCAGGAGACCAAGACTCGACCGGCTCCGCCGAAGAAGCCACTGCGGCTCTCGTTGCATCGCGCAGCCAGCCTGCAGTCCGTGGAAAGTGCGCCGCCGGCGGCGGTACATCACGACACACCGCGGAAACCCACCAAGAGGAATCACCGTGGCGATCCACCATCGGAGAAGAACGTCCGACTCCTCGAGATAAACGGCGACGTAAACTCGAGCTCGCAGGATCCTCCACATTCTAATTCGCCACCTCAGCCGCCACCGAGGACACCTTCCAGAGCAGAATCTTGTCAAAGCGCGCTGCGATGGCCTTCCCCGAAGCCGAGACCGCATTTAACATCTGTGCCAATGGAGAAGTGGTGTTGAATGCCTTCGAATAACTATTCTTCGCGGATTTCGTGTCTCCCGCGGACAACGTGAAGTCTAGGAAGTCTAAGGGAGCGTCAAACTTTGTCAAGGCTATGGTTCTTCGACCGTCATGACTGACACGACGATAAATCGTGAAGAGGACGAGAGCAATCGAGGAGAGAGAGATTATTACTCGCCTTCGAGGAGCCGGTAACGCGTCGAGATCGGCTACAATCTACAAGGTCGCTGTATTAAATTCGATGACTGGCACATTCTCTCAATTGTTTATGATCGAGATTAGTGTTAAGAGACGTACGGTAAGAGACGCATTTATGCGGTGTAACACATTATTACGATACGTCAATAGCACGTCATGCTGCGAGAATAGAACCTAAATCTATCGATTGTGCGTTGCGATAACAGTATCTTCAGTCTAGCATTCAGGTTTTTATATACCCTCAAATAAAAAAAAAAAGAAACACCTATCCTGCCCAAAAGAATAGAAATATATAAGACTGATAAATCGTCTGTCATCGAATCGACAAAGTGCGTATCTCTTTGGGTTCTTTAATTGCTATCACATCAATTGAAACGCAGAAAGTCAAATTTTTATCCTTGAAAGTGACAAAATTGTTAAAATGAATACTTAATGTCTCTTTTATGAAGAACTTTTATGAAGAACTCCTTTGATTGTCGATATATGGGAAATGGGAAGCTTCGACATCAGTTTACGATTGAGCTTACCGAGTACTTTAGTTTACTGTATCGAACGTACAGGTTGGTAAGCTGTACTATGTATGCAATCCAGGCGTGCCGAATTTATCGGAATGTCGCGATTTGCGCGAAATGTATACACACGTTCGTAATTCCTGTCGCATCCGCGATGCGGATTGTGGTCTCAATAGGGTGTAATTTAGTCGTAATTTATCCGATTATTCGACGGAGATTAAGGCAAATATGCAAATATTCGCTCGTGCGATGCCACGTGTAAAGATGGTGAACGTATTAAATGATTCTATGCGAAAATTTGCGTTACGGTATTATCTCTAAGTAAGTGTACAAATGTACAAAGTTATTGTAATCTGTCTTCGGAGTAGAGCAATAACGAAGCTTTCGAATACAATCCATTTCATTCGCAAGCGTAAAATTTCGTACAAAGTACGTTAGACGTACGTTAGAACTTATGGTACTATATTATACTTTTAGCACTGGCACTATTACTCAGATAGCACAAAATCTTCAGAGAATGTTCTAAGACGTTCTTAGGATGTATGAATGTCCTTAGAGCGTGTTTTGAAGATTTGTGATGTATGGGTACACACCAATACAACAATACATATAATGATCTAGAAGTATCTTTTTCCATTTTTATATCTTCGCGCGGTAGAATAAGCTAATGAGAACATAAGTTCTTGTTTTTCTCTTTTTTTTTTTAAATTGCTAGTCCTGTCGTTATTTATACAACGATGTATCTGGCGAGACGCACATTAAAAATATAACGTACAATACCGAGATTAAATATAGATTTACAGTCTGTACTGTATGTAATGCTTTATACAGATATCATGAATAAAATACAAAATTTCTAAGAAAATTATTACGATGAAGTACTTTCAAGTTTGATCAAAAATAACACGAGTCAAATACAAATATATAAATATATTTAAAAAACAAAATCAAATCGTCTCATCATTAAGAATCATTTCGACATACACGCTCGGCAAAGTCGTGCCACTAAGGCGTGCAGCTGCAACAAACTGTTAATACCTTCCACCACACCCATGTGTGTTATTCCAATTTCCTGCAATTATCAAATTTATATTTTCTTTCACTCTTAAATCATAGATTGAATATTTAGTAATATTTAAGTAGTATAAGATAGAACATATTAATATTAATTCTAACTTACTTTAACAAATATCAATTTTAGTTTTTCATCCATAGTATGATTCTTACAAACTTTGAATACATTACTGATTATATCCTCTGCAGAATATCCCATTTTCCAGAAATGATCCATCACCTAGTTGCATAGAAATGACTTACAAATTGTATATGATATATGTGAATGTGTATATGATAAATGTGAAAGTATATCAATGTTTTATCTTACCGTGCATGCTTTAGAAACATCTCCTTTTATACAATCATCCAACATTTCTTTAACGATTAAGGGATGAGGTTCGTCGCAGACTTTGAATACATTCTCACCGTTTACATGATTGAATCCATTATGTGTTGACTGTAGATTGTTCAAGGCTTGTCTCATATCTCCTTGGGCTGTAAATACTATCGCTTCCATACCATCATCTGTGTAGGAAACCTACACATAGTAGTATAGTACATATAGTAAATGATAAATCTGCAGAAAATAAACCAGATTAACCCTGATTGTTTGTTAATGTCGATAAAATTTTACTTACATTTTCTTTCTGACATACTTCAAGAACTTTTGCCAAAACTTGGGCATCTGTTAACTTTCCATATCTCAGCATAGCACAGCGTGATTGTATAGGTTCTATAATCTCTTCTGTATTGTTGCATGCAAGAGCAAACCTGGTAGTATGACTGTAAATCTCCATTGTACGACGTAATGCTTGCTGTGCACCATCAGTCATGCTATCAGCTTCATCTAAGATAATAATTTTATGCTTTCCTTTTGGAAGATTTACCTGCAAATACAAAACAACTGTGCAAAACTCAATCTTATTCCAAAAGCAAGCTTATATCTTGTATAATATATACTACCTTCTTTTGAGCAAACATTTTTATTTTATTTCTAACTACATCTATTCCTCTCTCATTGGATGCGTTCAGTTCGAGCACAGCTTCTTTAAATGCTGGTCCAAGTAGAATACGCGCCAGACATAAAATTGTAGTTGTTTTACCAACTCCTGGTGGGCCAGCGATAATAATATTTGGAGTATTCCCATGCTGAGCAAATACAGATAATCTAGATACAGTATCCTCGTTACCAACAATATCTGCAAATACTTGTGGCCGATATTTCTCAATCCTAGTAATCATATACCCTTCATTTACTATCATTCCCTTTATTTACTATCTAAATACATTGTATAAAAAAACAATAATTAGAGATATAGTTTACTTTTGCACGAGTAAAACATACCATGGTAAACTAGGTGATTTATCTTTTTCCTTCATTTTCATATCATTGTTGCTTGTAGATGGCAAAATCTCCATCTCCATAGGTTCGTCGACATCGTCCTTCGCCATTTTCAAAATTACACTCTAGGGTTGCATTCAAAAACGTCCTTTTCGAGGAAAATTTTACTCTTAAGGGCCGGTTTCAAGCCAACTCCGGTTAAGCTAACCGAGGATTAAAAGTAGCAGAGTAGCCAACTTAAATGCGACGTGCTATAAACAGTGGCCTGGTTTACATCGTGCACTGATACGCGTATAAATAGTAACTTTCTATTAGATAATCTTAATATCGACAATGCATATCAATAGCGACGCATTCTATCAATACAATACATTTTGTTGATAAATATTATACCAGCTTAATATACCGTTGTTTATATATATCGTCGATATTAAGATTATCTAATAGAAAGTTACTATTTAGTACGCGTATCAAGTGCATGATGTAAACCAAGCTAGTGATTATTGGTCCTTACTATTAAGGAACCTTTACATGGGAGCATCGAGCGTCGAGCGTTAAAGCGGTACAACTTTCAACGTGCAACTTTCCGCAATAACTACAAGTATACTTCTGGGACCTGATACGTTGATTGGCTAACGCTTTAACGCTCGACGCTGAAACGCTCCATGTATTGTCATCTTTAGATCCCTAACTTTAGACCAATTACGTTGACTAATTACTCAACCATTGTAACCGTGTGTTTCTTGAACGCACTCATTGTACGTGTAACTACTCACACAAGTGACACGTCACACATACAGAACGCCGCCATTTTCTCGCGTGCAACCGGAAACCTTACGCGACACACGTTCAAAGCCTTTGTTAGCAATCTAGTTTAATATATGGTCTGTTCTTTTCAGCTAACTGCTAAATTGGTGCAATAAGTTAAAGTGAGACAAGTATATTTTTTCTCACTCTAACTTATTGCACCAGTTCAGCAGTGCAGCTGAAAAGAACAGACCAATAGACATCTATGGTTGCTTTCCAACAAGAGACACAAGTTGGAGTGTATGAAGTTGGCACCCTACTTTTCGAAAATCGAACATTCTGATACCGCAATAGATTGTTCTAGTTGTTCCAAACATTGTTCCAAAAGGACAAATCCGTAAGTTGAATTATAAAAAATGAAAAAAATGTTTTTGACCTGGCACCCCCCCTTATAGAAATATCATACTAAGAATCATTGATAATTACTTATTATTCAGTATTTTTAATACTGAAAATAAGTAATTATTAATGATTCTTAGTATGATATTTCTATAAGGGCCATTTTTTGAAAATAAAGTGTTTTCTCTTGACGTCTGGTGCTGTCAAATCGATTTTTTTTCGAATTTTTGGAGAACGGATGACGCTACGAGTCTCATACTCTAAAACTATAATTCTTAAGCCTAGCACAACTCAGAACAAAAAGATCTCGGTTGGAACAAGAAAGAAAGCATGTGTTTACTCTTAACGTCGAGTACTGTCAAATCGATTTTTTTACGAATTTTCGGAGAACGAATGATCTTATGAGTCTCATACTCTAGAACTATAATTCTTAAGTCTAGAACAACCCAGAACAAAAAGATCTCGGTTGTAACAAGAAAGAGAGTATAACTTTACTCTTGGTCCGATAGACTGTTTGTCAAAAAACTTTTTTTTAATTTTTCGGGCTTATAATTAAACTTATTGATTTGTGCTTTTGGAACAATGTTTGGAACAACTAGAACAATCTATATCGGTATCGGAATGCTTTATTTTCAAAAAATGGGGTGCCAGGTCAAAAACATTCTTTTCATTTTTTGGACTTATAATTCAACTTACGGATTTGTCCTTTTGGAACAATGTTTGGAACAACTAGAACAATCTATTGCGGTATCAGAATGTTCGATTTTCGAAAAGTGGGGTGCCAGCTCAAAAAATCATTTTTTTTTGTTTTATTTGAAAACCGTTTCGAATGAAGCAATATCACTTTGGAACAATGTGGTACAAAGTCAGAACAATCTGGAACAACTTTCAAAATTATAAATTTCAAAAAGTGGGGTGCCAACTTCATACACTCCACAAGTTGACACAAACATCATTCTATCTTTGTTCCACATTTAGTGAGTAACCTATGGCCGGAATTCATAGTCGAATCTTATTTCAAAACCGTCTTAAGTAATGTCTTAAGATGCGAATACTGCTCTGTGATTGGTTCATGATATCTTAAGACAGTACTTAAGATAATTTTAAATATAAGATCGGATTATGAATACCGACCTATGTCACTATCTCAGTTTCTCGTTAAGGGAAGTGGCGACTCGTAGCAGAGACTTTAGAACTAACTTTAGAACTAACTTTAGAAATAACGAATCTAATGGCTTGGTTTACATCGTGATACGCGTACTATAAAGTAACTTTCTATTAAATAATCTTAATATTGACAATGCATATCAACGACGACGCATTAAATCGATACATAAGTCTTCTTGATCAGTATTATACCAGCTTAATATACCGTTATTTATATACATCATCGATATTAAGATTATCTAATAGAAAGTTATTATTTAATATGCGTATCAAGTGCACGATATAAACCAAGCCAATAGCGAATTCGGTTGCTTGCACTAGTGCGCACTGAATGCACACTAAGGCTTGTTTATAGTATGTTAATATTAAAGATTGTCTTAAATAAATTCTCAAATATTTTTAAGCAGTAATATGATATGTAACATCTGTACGAATCATTTTATTAGCTAAAATGTTTTTAAATATGATTTAATACACGATCTTAAATATAAATATGTATTGTAAACAACCCCGAATGCGCACTCAGTGCGCACTAGTGCAAGCTACCGAATTCGCTATAAGAAATATTTTAAACCGCGCACGCGGTTTGACTAAAAAATTTTTTTATATTATATCGAGGTCATGATATAATTCAACAATATATAAGATGTATTTTAATCTATTTTAAAAAATATAGACTATGCAATATAAGTGCAATGAATTGAATCTTTGGCAAAAATAATGATATCGAAGTGGTTCAAAAATCATTTTTAAAACTACTAAAAATAATATTGCAGTGCGATTTAACGATAGATTAAATATCCTTTTAATCTACCCTAAAAATTAGACAAAAATCAAAAGGTTAAACTTTGTTAAATTATATCGAGATAGTAGTTCATACAATATTTAAAATTTAAACTCTAGTAAATTTAAAGGGTATGTAAGATTGCTATTTACATTATCTATTATTTTCTCAACTTTTAAATAAATAATTCTATTATTTCTAAGTAATAAAAATTGATTAATTGTATAATAATACTATTATTATACAAATATTATTATACAGTGAATTTATTAAACACATGAATTGTTTATTGATCGTGTTATTACACAATATCATTTACAATGAGTTTAGTGAAATTCAAAATAATTATAAATACTAGTTTCAAAATTAATGTGAGAGTTACAACTCAACATTACAAATAGGCCAAAATACTCTTCTTTTACATAATACAATTAAACGTCAGGTTTAGAAAGACTTTAGTTTTTCAGCAATATAATTCAGCGATGCAAATCAGGTGAGAATTTTTATTTCTAAATAATGTATATACACATGTGTATCTCTCTTTTTATGATGCATCTTATACAAAAAGTAAAATGGCAATAATGATAATTATTGGCATAGGCAAAATCGTTATTTATTGAAATTTATTGAGCACAATTAGTTCTCCTTATATTTTACACAAGTAAATCTATATTAAAAGTTATTTGAAATCATATATATATATTTATATATAGTTATCTTAAATTATCTTCCTTTATACAAACACACGTGTACATATGCGTATGCTCATATATTGGTGGTGTGTATGTGTGGAAATGTATGTGTGTATGGTTTATATTTAAATTTATTTATATAATACCCACGATGCATGATACTAACAATACATATCAAAGTTTTATGTTACACTGGCAATAATTATAGTTATCTGACAAAATACGGAATCTCTGATTTTGGCGCACGGCTCTACCGCCACTGTGCCCCTTTTATTTTTTTCCCCTTTCTGCTTCTTTCTTATTATTGTTGTTATTATTATTATTTCATTATTAATATTATTATTATTATTACTCAACCCACTCACATGTAGGCGCGAATCGTGAAGGTTTTTCTCGCTATTGTTACACTTACAAGGTAGTCGCGTTTTAAAATTTAGATTACAAATAGAGCTCGCCGTGACTTATCGAGCTGCTCTTCGAGCGTATTTGATCGTCGATCTTATCAAAAGGACAATAATCTCATCGTTTCAAGCGAATCGGAGAGCTCGCACACGTCGGAGGAAACGCATCGTAGATTACTCTACATTTCCATTCTCCACTTAACAAGCCGCGGTTTCCTCGGTGATCGCATTTTACGCGTTTATTTAATTACAGTATTCTGCTGTTCTTCCCTTGAGCTATTATGCATGTAAGGGGGGGGGGGAGGTGTATTTGCTGTACGATCGCGAGCGCAGGCAGTCTCGTTCAGCTGTTCCACCGTCTTGGTAAAAGAAAACTTAAGACTACTAAGCGCCTACGTCTAACGTTAAACGTCGGGAATGCATAAAATCGTCAATTAACACGCGATGTTATGACAAAATACTTCTATTGTACCTTTAATTACACTCTCTTCGAGAATCGCGCGGCATCGTCTCGGCGTGCACTATACTCCTTCCTCACCTCTTTCTCCTTTATTGGAACGCTATATTCCGGCGCGTGCAAGATCTGCGATTCCTCTAACATCTACATTACAGTGTTAGACATTGAGCGAATACAGCGGAGTCCATTAATCGATAGTGAGTGTGCTATATTACTTACTATCTCGGAAGAAGTGAGATTCAAAGACGAGGGGCGGAAGGGAAGGAGGGGAGGGAGGGAAGAATTATAAAGTCCACGCGCGTGCGAACACGGGGAGTTTCGCGTATTGTTATCGCGCGCACGGTACGGAGAAATCACACGTAACAATCGTGCACTAGAGAATCGAGTCACCAGGGTCGCACGAATTTCCACAACTACGTGAAAAATAAGTTGGATCGCGCCTTCCTGAGGGACGAAGGGGACATCGAGGAAGGTTTCGTTTCTCTCAGTCGACTTCTTCCCTCGGCGACGGGGAGAACAGGAGACCAGGGAGGCAGGGGGGCACTTGTTTTTTTCGGGGAAATAAATATTAGCTAGCAAGAGAGACACACACACATACACACGCGTGCCCGCGGGAACGTGTTGTTGCGAAAACGCATCGCGAGTTGCGCTTTCGCTTCACATGCAAATAGAAGCGCGAGCGCATCTTTAGTTAACTAATTAATTAACGCAAACGCATCACGACGTTCCCTTGTTATAATCGACAACGGCTTGCGACTGACTCACGCTCCGTCGCCTCGATAAAACGAGGCCGTGGTCGTTACATGTCTGTACAACAACAATATCGCATTCGTTCGAGCAACAGTCGCCCTCGCGCAACGATTTTGCGAGTTGATTGCAGAATGAGGGTGATGTAAACCTTCTACTTTATATATATTATACTATATATATATATATATATATATATATATATATATATATATATATATATATTCTATATATATATAGAAAAGAGAGTCTCACAAAGAACAATTTCATCTTTCCGCGATTTTTCCGCTTACATCACTCTCATCGTTGATAAACTCGCGTATCAGAGACGGGCGCGATATTATTTACATCGTAATAAATCAACGTGCGTTTCTTTAATTTTTATACGAGCGCTTACAGTGACCTGACGAGTGAATTAATCATTTCCTCGAGTACTATTATGCGTTGTGTGTCTTCAATTATTTAGCCGGGAAGGGCACGTATATGTATATACTCTCACATAATACATAAATTAATTAACATATAAATTTAAATCAATATAAAATGAATTTCTCGTGAAGGAAATGCGATCATCATTGACATTTACAATTTATGAAAACGTAATGTACAATTCATTCTTTTATGTATATATTTTCTTAATTTCATTCATAAGCAAACGTCTTGCATACATTAGCTGCGCGTAAAATTGACTGACTGACGTCCCGCAGGAGCCGACTTGCGAAGGATTTATGTTAAAGTGCGCTAGCTAAAGGGTTAATTGAATCTATAATGTTAAGATAGACCGAACGCTTCTGTTATTTATATTTATATTTTTTGTTATTTTTTGGAACATAATGTTCATGCTTTCTTTGCTGTACAGAATTGGATATTAAAGTAAGGATATTCTCCGAGAGTGTCCATCATTCGCGGCTGCACAACTCTCTCATCAAGGAAAAGGGAATATTACACGACAACAATTACGAGATATAAGACTAACAAAAGCGTACATTCGACATATCGAACGCCGTGATTTTTCTTCGATGAACTCGTGCATTCGCGAATGACATAAACGCAGTCAGTTACTCCAGCATCTCAGCCAACGCAAGCCCAGCTAAGGAATGATCGATCGCTCGTCAATCCCATGCGGAGAAATCCGGCCGCGCGCGCTTTCCAGATACGACAGAAGTTGCGGAATCAGCTTTCGCGCGTCGCTTGATGGATGTGGAAACCGAGCCCGTCTCTGTTAATATGGCACCTATACGCATTACAAAACAAATTCCCGCGTCTCTCAGTATCTCGCTCAGTCTTCTCAAAGGCTCCGCGCGACGAGGCTCTCGTGAGGATTCTTCACGTCGATCATCGGCCGTGCGATCGTCGTCAATGCCTCGTCTCGTCGTCTCTCGTTCCGTTCCTACTCGGATTTCCATCCTTCCCCCCCCCCC